TTAGTTGCTTGCGTGACATTCGAGGTATTGACCACGTCAAACCACTTAGTAGTAAAAAGATTCGTTCACATTTTACAAATGCTGGCACGAATCGATCCCCTAATTTTCCTCTAAATTCGTCTAAGTCTTCCAGACCATCTTCCAAAAAGTTTTGTATTATTTGTCCACGACAAACACATCATATCAGAGAATGCAAACAATTTCTAAGACTTTCAGTTCCTGAAAGATATAATACCATTAGGAGATATAATTGTTGTTTAAACTGTCTATCCCCTAAGCATTTAGTAAAACATTGTAGTAGCCCTTACAATTGTAGCAGATGTAATCAAAGGCATCATACTCTGTTACACAGAGATACATCAATTGCTGGTGCGTCTTCGACGGCAGCAATTTCCCAAAGTAGAAACATAGCTTCGCCAAATCAACCATCCACCTCTACAGGTATTACGTCAGGCTCTTCTAATAGACAGGTATTCCATACCGCCCAGAGTAGAAACGTCCTATTAGGTACGGCAATGGTGAACATCGTTCATCAGGGTATCATGTACCCTGCCAGAGCATTAATTGATCCCGCCTCAGAAGCTTCATTTATTACAGAAGTCCACAACATTAGCTACTATTTCAGGGATTAATCAGACAGTCTCGACTACGTCACGCAAATTATGTTCGATTTGCATAAGTTCTCCGTTGGACGCTTCGCTTTCTATGGAAACTACTGCCCTTATTCTCCCTAACATTTCCGGCAATCTGCCTTCTTTTACTGTCAATACTGACATTGTTTCTAGTTTGCCCAATCTACGATTGGCAGATTCCAATTTATTCAAATGTCGTCCGGTTGACCTTTTGCTGGGAGCCGATCTTTATCCGAAGATCCTGCTACAGGGCACGCACACCCACATATTAGAATCTCTAATAGCGCAAAATACGGTCTTTGGTTGGATCATAACCGGTCCTATTCCTCCTCAAAATGTTCCGGTCTTCTCCACTAAGGTGACTTTTTCGGAGGAAGAAAATCTTGACAAGATTCTTCTTCGTTTTTGGGAACTAGAGGAAGTGCCTAAACGGCAAATATTGTCCCCTTCTGACCAATTATGTGAATCTTTCTATAAACGTACCACATATCGTGATCCGGACGGTAGGTACGTTGTAAGCCTTCCCCTCAAAAATGACTTAATTGGACAGTCGGACTTGGGTTTCTCAAGAACCAATTGTTTACGACAATTTTTTCGAAACGAGGCATCCCTACTTCGAAAACCACAAATTAAAGTAGTCTACGATCAAGTGGTAAATGAATATTTGAAATTGGATCATATGAGGCCAGTTGTTGCCGCAACAACAAACTCAACGGTTTGTTACTTGCCACACCACCCAGTAATTAATCCGGATAAACAGACTACCAAACTTCGAGTGGTTTTCAACGCCTCGAATAAAACTTCAAACGGGAAAAGTCTTAATGACATTTTACATGTGGGTCCCACACTGCAATTGGATTTAGTCCTGCTTATCCTTAGGTGGAGACTTTTTAAATTTGTTTTTAATTGCGACATCACACAGATGTACCGCCAAATACGTGTCGATCCGGCCCATACTCCACTGCAACGTATTGTTTTTCGGGATTCTCCTGAAAAACCTGTACAGGACTTTGAATTGCAGACAGTGACATTTGGCGTAAATTGCGCCCCCTACTTAGCCATACGGACGCTTTTACAATTAGCAGACGATACTGACGATGAATATCCGCTTGCTGCGCACATACTTCGTAGGTGCATGTACGTTGACGACGTACTTACCGGATATCATGACTTACGTACAGCATTAGAATCGCGCGATCAATTAATATCCGCCCTTTCATCCGCTAAATTTGAATTAAGAAAGTGGACAGCAAATGACCGTACAATTTTGCAAAATCTTCCAACGGAAGATTTAATCGATGCTAAAGTTCTTTCCTTCATTGAAGCTAGCAGTTCTAAGCCATTAGGTATCAGATGGAATGCTCAGCTTGATTTGTTTTATTTCAGTGTGAGCGCCCTTCCCACAAAAGTTCACTATACAAAACGTGAAACATTGTCAGTTTAGGTCCAGTAATTGTAACCGCAAAAATAGTTATGCAGAAGATCTGGACAGATAAAATCGGCTGGGATGATAAACTTCTGTCCACGACAGAACGGGAATGGCGAAGTTTCGTGGACTGTTATCTGGATGTGAATTCCATTCATATTCCTCGATGGGTTCATTATACGCCAGATTGTTCCGCCGAACTTCATGTCTTTTCTGACGCCTCAGAAAAGGCATACGCGGGGGTGATATATATTCGGATAATAACTCCGAATAAAAATATTTATACTCACCTCCTGACCTGCAAAACTAAAGTAGCCCCCCTAAAGTCAGTTTCTTTACCACGGTTAGAACTTTGTGGAGCCGTTTTAGCAACCGAATTATTAAAAAACATTCGGAATGAAATCGACATTTCATTCCAAAAGGTATTTTGTTGGACTGATTCTACGATCGTCCTCGCATGGCTTAGCAAAACTCCATCTACGTGGACCACATTTGTTGCTAACCGTGTCAGTAAAATTCAAGATGTTACAGATGTAAGCAGTTGGCATCATGTTCGTTCTGAAGAAAATCCTGCTGATTTAGGCAGCCGGGGGGTTTCGCCTTCTGAGCTAGCCTCATCACAACTTTGGTGGCATGGACCACACTGGCTACGCCAAGATAGCTCTCAGTGGGATATATCGCACAGTGCTCACCTTGACACAGATGTAGAAATGCGCACAGTCAAGGTTCACGCTTCATTTTTCAATGATAATTTTGAAGATATTTTGGGAAAGTTTTCGACTTTAGACAAGGCTCTTCGAATCTTGTCTTACGTTTATAGGTTTTTCCACAACACTCATCGTGCACATAGAGGTAATTACATTTACAATGATGATAACCTCACCAGTTCGGAGCTTAGAGCGACTAGATTACGTCTAGCTGTCATAGCTCAAAAAATTTATTTCCCAGATGAGTACCATAGTCTGTTGGATAAGGTCCCCTTAAAATCCAAAAGTTCCCTTATAACCTTAAACCCCTTTCTAGATGAGTTAGGAGTTATGAGACTAAACGGACGCTTATCAAGTGCATCTACTCTTTCTTATTCGGAAAGACATCCCATACTTCTACCTTACCATAGTAGGTTTGCTCGCCTTTTGGTCAAGTTCGTTCATACAATTTCCATTCACGGTGGAAATCAATTGATGCTTCGCATCTTAAGAATCGAGTATTGGATCCCAAGACTCACCTCATTAATTAAAACAACGATAAGTCGTTGTAAAACCTGTCATTTATTTAAGAATCGCTCCTGCTCTCAAATTATGGCCGCTCTTCCACCGGAAAGAGTAGCTTTTACAAGGCCTTTCACCACTACTGGTGTTGATTTCGCTGGTCCGTTTGACCTCAAATCCTTTACCGGCCGCTTAACAAAGATAACGAAAGGTTATGTATGTGTGTTTGTTTGCTTTTGTACGAAAGCAATTCATCTGGAAGCTACTTCCGATTTGTCGACGACAACATTTTTAGCTGCCTTCCAACGTTTCATATCCCGACGCGGCTGTCCAAAAACTATTTTCTCTGATAACGGCACCAACTTCGTTGGAGCTTCTAGAGAATTAGAGCGAGATTTCAAAATCGTAGTGCAGGAATGTCGTAATGGTTTGTGTTGCCAGTATCAATTTCAAGAACTTTCGTGGCAATTTATACCTGCCGGCGCTCCCCATATGGGTGGCCTGTGGGAAGCCGCTGTAAAAAGTTTTAAACTTCATTTCCGTAAACAAGCTAAGAACTTAAAATTCACATTCGAAGAGTTATCGACGATACTCTCCCGAATAGAAGCTTGTTTAAATTCTCGTCCTTTGTGTCCCATGAACGACGACTTCCAAAATACGGTAGCACTTACACCAGGTCATTTTTTAATTGGATCTCCGATCCTAGCTCCCCCTGAGCCATTAATAGATGAATCCCCTCTTCACTTGGTAAATCGGTTCCGGAAACTGAAAGCTCTGACTCAACAACTCTGCCTTCGGTGGAAAGATGAGTACTTGAAGAGCTTGCACAAAAGATATAAATGGAAGTTTCCGCAACGCGATTTACAAAAGGGTGATTTAGTTGTAGTCCGTCAGGAAAACCTTCCCCCCACTTCGTGGAAATTAGGACGTATAAGCGAGGTGCACCCGGGTTCTGATGGTCGAGTACGAGTCGCAGATGTATATACGGAAAACGGCACTATACGACGTCCGATTGTTAAGTTAGTCGCGCTACCATAATTGTCAAAGCCGATATTTCGAGTCGTCTTGGGCAAACTCTTTACTTTTTTCGCAAAATGAAAAAAATGTTTATTGATGGGCGCGATAGAGCCTCGAAATATCGAGCTATGGCAATTCATGAAACGATCTACGGCTTTATATATTTACAAATTTAAATCTTCATTGTTGTGTTATAGCATCCTCTCTATTTTTCACAGAAGATGGAAAATTTAGGAATGATGGCTGCTGTACTCCCAACCTTCGAAGATGACATTCTCATGTCCGATGAGGAACGGGAGCTCGACGCCAAGGCTAATCCCACCAGGCTGTCCGGGTCCCAAAAATCTGCTCCTCCATCCGAGGAAATTAACAATAAAAAACCGTCGTCGACGGTCCCTGAAGGTCCTTCAGGAGAACCGGTGGTGTCGCCACCTCTTTCGGCACCCCGTCGAATGAACCAGGGCTCGAAGAAAGCGTGCATAGTTTGCGCTGGCCAACACCACTTGCGAGAGTGCAAAAAGTTTCGGTCAATGAGTGTTGAGAGAAGACTGAGGGTGGTGGCTTTTCACAAATGCTGTGGGAATTGTTTGGCCACTAACCACACCATCCGCGACTGTTCCAGTCGTTACCGGTGCAAAACATGCAAAAAGGAGCATCATACATTGCTCCACCAGTCTTCTCCCAACAATAATGTTCCCGACTCCCATTCAGCCCAACCGTCGAAAAACCTACGTAAGCGTAGAACTGCCACACGTCCGTCCGCTTCAACTTCCCTTCCTTCTGCTGGTCCATCTTTCACTCACCGGCAAAACGTACCTGCCATCCAGACCGTAGCCACGCTCGGACCAACGGTGGTGGTGCAGCTGTTGTCAAATGGTCAAAGAATTCCTGTCAGAGCTCTCTTGGATCCATGTGCTGGGCAGAGTTTAATATGTCGGTCATTGGCTGATAGACTTAAGCTATGTCCTGTCATGGTGGGTCCGGAGAGGTTCTGCCAGTTTTCCGTAGCCTCATTTTACGATGGCACCCAGAAAATTAGTTTGTCGGCTCGAGTGATCGATCTGGGGCACCTTATCGCTCCCTCACAGTCTGTGTCCGTTGGCATAAAAGACCACTTTGCTGGCCTGCAATTAGCCGATCCTCGGTTTCACGAAGCTGCTGCAGTCAGTATGGTATTGGGCCCTGAAGTCTATCCCAAAATTGTTAAGCACCAGACTTATTCGAGCCCTGGTTTCCCATGGGCCCAGCTCACCATTTTTGGTTGGGTTATTACGGGTCCATGTAGTATTTAAATAACACGCGATGGGCAATCTTCAATTGCTTATCTGCACGACTCGGCGAGTCATTTGTTTTAAAATAATAAAAAATTACGGGTTAGGTCTTGACGAGCCATTGCACGACCCTGCTCGTCGAGCAAAACTATTTTTAGAATATAAGTTGTTTTTTGAAAAAAAAGAAAAAAAAAAGAAAAATGAATTGAATAATATAAAAAAATGAATTACATATACACCCACATAAAACCTTTTCTATATTAATTTTGCAACATAGCTGGATATTTCATAAAAACGAAAGCGGACACTTTGGCATTACGGCAGCATACGAAAAACTGAAATCGGTCGAATATAACCCAGACCTCAAAACTCAAATCTACAAAATCATAAACAACTGTGAGATATGCAGTGGAGGTAAATACGATCGAACCCCAATGAAAAATAAGTTCAGATTAACAGAACCCCCAATACAATTAACGAAACAATTCATATAGATACATACGTAAATAACAAACAGTCTTTTATCGTGTTTATAGACAAATTTTCAAAACATGTTACATGCTTCCATCTACCAGATAGAAACAACATAACAATTACTAACAAAATCCACAAATTCATAGCATTAAAAGGAAACCCCCAAAAATTTGTGTTCGATAACGAATTTAACGCAATCACAATAAAAAAATTTTTGGATAAAGAACACATCCAATTTCACGCTACAAAACCAAATATCCATACAGGTGATAGTGACATAGAAAGACACATAAACGGAAAAATTAAGAAGAAAATAACATTGTAAACGAAACCAATATTGTCCTACATGTAATACAACCAATAGAAATATTTGACATTATAGACGCTCTAGAACAAAACACAATAAACTTAGGTAGCAACTACAAGAACATAATAAACATCCTTAGAACAAAATTAAAGTCTATCTTGCCATCAAGAAATAGAAATAAAAGGGGCCTTCCGAATTTCGTAGGTACAGCCCACAAATGGCTCTTTGGCATAATGGACGAAGACAGGCAAAATATAATACAAAAATTAGACATTTCTAACAGTAACAACCATAATATTACAGAAACAATTAATCAGCAAGTAATTATTAACAATCATTTCAATGAAAGTTTATGTTTAATAAAAGATAGTATTTTAGACGATAGAAAGAAAATTAATAATGCAATAAACACCATCCAAACACAAAACTCTGAAATAAGAAGTCAATATGTATTCAATGAACAACATATTAAATTAAAATTTTTAGAAAACAAAGTGGATCAAATTACAGAAAACATATACTCTGCTAAATACACACTAGCAATATATTAAACGGAAATAATATTTTAATGTTCTCAAACTGTAAAATTACAATACAAAATGAAAAATTTTCTAATCAAAAAGAAAATTATTTGGAAAAAAATTCTTGATTTTAATACATACAACAACAAAACATTTAGAAATAAAATAACATTAATTGATATTGTACTCATAAACACTAAAAATTTTGAAAAACTGAAGA